TATATCCAACTCCAGGGGTCTATTCCAGATCCCCATTAGTCTCTTCCCCTTCTTTGTGGATGACCACCTTCGTGATTTTGAAGTCAGGGTTTTCTCTCTGCTCCTCAGCGATGGCCTGGGCCAGAAGCTACACGGACACAAAACAGAACTGGCATTATTGAAGTTGAAAGCTGAACGGGCACAGAAGCTGGAAAAGTACTGTCCAAGTCCTACTTTACATCTTGACCTGCTGGTTCGAGTGTGAGGCTGTGAGACTTATGGCTCAAAGATGAAGACGTGAGCTGCTCGGCTTTTGAGTCAGCCTCGAGTCAGTTCAGTTTCTCTTATGAGTTTGAATTACTTGATTGCTGGAGTTGCAGTCGGGTAAAGTCCAAGTCAAAGTCTCAAAGGGAAGAATGCAGAACTAAACAAGGAATAGCTCAAGGTTTTACACTGAGGGGACCCACAAAACCCTGAACCTAGTCAAACCTCGCAATCAACCTGGAGTTGCCACCTGTGTAAGTCTGCATTCTCCTTACGCCCTATCCCTCCACCTATTTGGCCGTTTTTGTAGGAACCTTCCTAAATCCCCGAGAATCATTACAATTCTCTGACAGAATCACATGGGATCGCTTTGTACAGAAGATGTTAAGTGACACTACGCCGCACGTATGACACAATAGTGAGTCGGCCCCACCTCCCTCAATCCTGCTTAACTCCTCCCACCCCTCCTGGTGGACTTTGGAAGGGAAAATCAACTTGGACGATTCACTCCCTTGCCCAAATCATTTCAAACTTGCCGAAGAGTTAACGGCCGATCATCAGAACTGCAAACGAACGTACAGTGGACTGGCATGAAGCCACACCCTCCCCCCATGGTGCAAGTTTCCTCGTTGCCTTAAAATCTGCTCCTGATCAAGATGTGGTCTCACCTCGTCTTTGTTGATGTCCCCGTCCCCTTGAATGATGATCTTCTTCTCCACGCGGGTCTCTGTCACGTCCCCCTTCACAGTCTGTGGAAGTCAACCACATGAATGGTACAGAAAAAGCATCTCTTTGTGTTGGCCCTACGCTTATACTGGTATCTTCCATACGACATGTATATGTGCAACACGTGCACAGGTCTGACTCAAGCCACAGACTCGAGAACAAACACTAAACTCGTCTGAACAGGACCTGACCCACATCTGCTAAACGGTAATAACATCTGAATGCAGAATGGTGATATGACAAGATACAGAGGTACATCAACACACGTCATCCACCCTGAGTGGAAACAGCTCAATTGCAGTTCTGTGATGATGGAAAGGTTTTGCATTGCAGACAGCCTGAAAAGCCCTGAGAGAAAATTTTTGAATTCCATGGTATTTCATGATAGAATGCACTCAAGCTGACGGGGTATGGCAGGGTATGGCTATGAATGGATTTACGGTAGCATGCGTGCCATTTCAAAATCCAAACTGAAGCGTGTCCGCGGCTGTTTGGAACAGCAGCACCAGCGCACAACAGTCTGTCCTATCAGCGCAGCCATTTGTCGACTCACACACGTGCTTTGTCCTTTATAAAATACAGAGCTACTTCGTTGTCTGTGAAACTTGGTACATGCGTAGAGCATGAACGCCCTCTGCTGGCGTACGTACCCGCGTAATGTGTGTGGTGGTGGTGGTGGTATGGCTCTCGCTTGACAAGGTCTGAGCGCTCACCAACACGCCCGTGTCGTCCAGGCTGTTGTCGGGCTCGTCCCGCTCGTACGTGATGGTCGTGTTCTCCGTCTGGACGTAGGGCACGTCATGGGTGAACTGCGAGTTCTCGTCGGGGCCGCCCTGCTGGACGATGGTCGCCGTCTTGACGTAGGGTTCGTCTCCTTCTGAGGCCGTGGCGGCCACCATTTCGTCATCTTCCGGCTGGGGCTTTTTTTTTTGAACAAGCAGACTTCATGTTGTTATAACAAACTCAGAAAAATGTAAAGGAAAAAAATCTCAACGGCACTGCAAACTTTACAATCACGGATCACGCTTCATGGAATATGTGATCATTTCCAAATAAAAAAAAGTCAAGGATTTTTATTCTCACACGCTATTACCTTGAAGATGGGCAAAAAAAATCATGCAAGGCTTTTCCACCTGCTATGCCACATCAAACTGAATGAGCCTCTTGATGAACTTCACGCTTATGGAAATGTCAGCAGCTTGTATGGAAACAGTGGCGCATTTTGCAGGCTACCAAAAAGACTTGCAACGTTTGATGCACAGAAAACCATCATAATCTCATTCTCCAGTGCCTGAATCGGTTTTCAGGTCAAATGACAGCAGATTGGTGAGCCGTTTCTAAACATATGTGCTTACATATTTACAGCAAGCATGATCAAGAACAAACTACGAAATGCAGGTTTGCTGGAAGTCAAGAGGTGATGATGTTGTTGATGACAGAAATGAAAAGCCGTTAGTAAAATGAATAAGTTAGGCAAACTGCAACCATTCCTGTTACAAGACTAGCCGATGACACCTGATCCATGTAGATTTTATATTCCAAATGCACATGTGTAAACTGTACAAAGTTGATTGATTGTGGCCGGTAACTCTGGTGTATCTACGTGTATGTAGGGGACTTCTCAGAATCCTCCTTAATCCTCTGCTGTGTAACCGACCAGTACTCTGTTTCCTTGAATTTCCAAGGGTGTCTAAGTCCATTCAAAGGATTAAGAATGATCTCGATTTGGGGTGAAAGAGTCAGTTTCGGATCTGTTTACAAATTCTTTGTCCTAAAATCCACCCTCATCTGCGACATTCTCTACGACAGCAATTTCAACTGCTCCATTTTGATCTGCCCAGAGCATGGCTGCTCGAGGGCGCTATACTAAATTTATGGCATGCGCACATAGATGGGACATAGATGCTGGTGACAAAAAAGTTCAAAAGGACCAACAAGATTTCACTATCGGCAACACCTGATCCCTCTAGAGTCAACGTTTGCCTGTTTTAACTAGCCCTCTTTAGAGTATTCCACCCAATTCCGTGATAGTTACCATTAAGTAGTTACCATCAAAAAGTTACCATCACCAGTGTAATGAACAATACAAAAAGTTATGGCAAATGTTTTCAAGATGCAGGCAGCTAAATACCTGAAGAAAGTTAATTAGTGGACTGAGCTGCGAAGGAAATGAAGAAATTAGTACGAAAATGACATGAAAGCTTGGAAGAAGTCGGCTGCTTTAGAGTTAAGACTAGGCCTGGACGTCACGGACCTGCTTAGCAGATAACAGCGGCTTAGTGAAATTTTCCCGCTTAGCATAAAAATCAATTGGGGACCACAGGCCAGCAGTATAAAACTCCCATGGCGTTTCAGTTGGTAACCCAATTTGCTAAGCACATCTGTCCCAATGCTGAGCAGGCCACATTTGCTGAGCGGGCCCATGCAATCCCCATTGCAAATCGCACACTGCAAAAATCTGATGTCCAAAGGAGGAAAATCCCAACAAAAATGAATCTGTTCTACAGGTATGTAAGCTGAGAATAAATACATCACTCAACAGATGTACGAGAAAAAGCTGCTTTCTGAGTTTTCAGTTGGGATTTCACAGTCCCACCCGCTACGCCGTCAATCTAACCCCTCTATTTATTTTCCCACCGTTACTGTTTCCCTACATGCAAATCTGGTTTTAAAACCAAAACACACCTGCACTAAATCACGGACAGACATGGCCATCGTGATGTCGAAATAAATGTATGCCCGAGAATGAGATGAGGCCTGTGCGTCTGGTATGGCCATGTCGATTACAGCCTATGATAATGGCCGCAGTTAAAGCCATGGTAAGAACAACTCTCCCATCATAACCAACCTTGAATATGCAAAATGTGTTTCTTTTTTTTTAACAGGTTATGGTGCATAGTGTGGGAGGGTGTACATGTAAATGTAGATGGGTGCGGTATTCGGTTAAGATTCAGTGCAACAATCACCACACGTGTATAAGTCAAGCCAACGTGAGCCCACCTCAGCGTTTTCATCGAGACGTTTCATGACGGCGACATCTCCTTCAACGGCTGGCTGCGGAGGCTACAATAATTGGGAGGGGGGGTGAGTCGGTTGGTATAATGTGACATGATTTAAACATACATGTACATGTATATGTAGGCCCTACCGGTAGCTCGATCCCCAAGTCAAGACGGCTCAGTCTTTGTACATATAGTCTCTTTTTAAGTCTGACAAGAGTACTGTGTGTCAGGTTGCGTTGTCTACAAAGAAAGGAATGCCCATCTCAGATTACCGATGTGGTTCTTCACATCAGTAGTTTGGTTTCATAGATAATGGATGTCTACGGTGCAACAGAACACTCCGGTCTTTAAAACAAAGAGGGTGTCCGACAAAAATTTGTGCGATTCTGTTGCAAACAAGCAAAAGATTCCTACATGTACATTTTGACTAAAATTTCTTCCTGAAAGCTTCACAATGAAGTTCAGTCTAGTTTCTTTTAATTTCCACAAATCAGCCGCAAATTTGCAATTAAAAAAATCCTTTCTTTGCAGAACAAATGTTCCTTCATCACAAACTTCTCTGGAGCAAATGCGATAACAAAATTTATGCCTGATGACCTAAAAGTGCAGATTGGCATAATCCCATTAGGTGGTGCGCTAGAATGGATGGCATTATACATGTAAGTGGACTAACATCTCGTCAGATGTGGGTAGCGATACAATGTAAATTGCTCTTTTTTCTTCCCTTCCCAAAGATGAGTCACATTTCTGGCAGTGAGTCACGTTTTTTCTATGTCTTGATGTCGTCTTACGTTATTAGTGCACGCCGTCTCAGCCAAAGTCCAATTTTATGCATGTGGCGTGCACCTCCCAATCCCCACCCAACAGTCGGACACCGGTGCGAGCGGGTTATCCTGTGTTGCCGTGGTAACGTGCGAGTTATTGATAAGACGGTGATAAAGTGAGTTTACTGGCAGAGAAAAGTCTTGAGCAGTTTTGCAAGTCAATACCGTCAAAGGCGGCTGTTTTTTCCCCCCAGATTTCCATGCTCTGTGCATTTCTTAAAGAGGAAAAGGGGTGCATTCTGGGATGACCCTGTGTGCAGAGAAGACGTCAGTGGCTTGATGGCAGAAGAAAAAGCAAATGTTAGTATTCCATGCTAATTTACAATAAAAACTGTATATTCACAATAAATCAAAGGAGATGCATTAATTCAAGGTGACAATTTCACTGATGCTCTTCTGCTCGAGGTATTTATGTAGACAACTATTTTTGGCCCAAAGAGCACACACGTTCTTGGAGACGACAAAGTCAATGTCTTCTGCATTTTGAAACAAGTGTTGCTTTTAAATAAGTTATTCCCATGCAATGGATTTAATGATCATCAAAAGATATGTATTCCTTGAGGAATTGGCACGAGAGACCCAGAACTGAACTAAGAAATCCGTATGTCAGCATCTGAAACCTGTCATGTAAACAGACAAAGGTCTGGACATTTTCCAGGTGTTTTGTTTTTAAGCAATGTTCTCTCAAAAACCTAAGTTCTCAGAATCTTTTAACTACTCTTTAGGAGTAACAAGGCTGTTATGTGAGCACATGCCCCATCCATCAAGCCAGTGCTAACCACTTACTTCAGGGTTTGCGAGGAAACTGCCCCATTTGTGTGACTGCAATTTAACCATGAAGACCGTGAGGTTTAAAGGGACCATGAAATAGAAAGATTTTTACTAAAATTTTACTAAACCCTTCAAAATGCACCTGTCGGTTTTTATTGACCCGAATTAAATTTTTGTTCTACAACTGAACCCATGTTTTAGAGCTTTTTTTATTTTTATGCTAATACAATTTGCATATTCATAAGTAAACCTTTGATGTCATCCAAGGCAATGAACCTCATTGTGCACAGAAAATGTCTTCCCTTTTTCAACACTGTATTGTATATTTCATTTCCTTTAGCAATTTACTGTTCAGTTAAGTGTATGGCAATAAGCAAGCAAGCAACCTTTTCACAGAAATATTTTCAGATAGCAGATATGGAGTTCACAATTTGACACTTGTCCAGAAATGTTTCATCAATTTGAATGTTTAAGAAGTGCAGTTTTCAGTTCATGTAACTCAAAGAACAGTGAAGAGTACAGAGATACACAGAAAGTGCTTCTAAGAAAAATTCATTTCACTGATTCTTTAACCATGAGCAATGCAAGGTTAACCATGAGTACTGCAAACTGAACCATGAGCAATGCAAGGTTAACCACGAGCACTGCAAGGTTAACCACGAGTACTTAAGGTTAACCACGAGTACTGCAAGGTTAACCACGAGCACTGCAAGGTTAACTATGAGCACTGCAAAGTAAACCATGAGTACTGTAAGGTTAACCACGAGCACTGCAAGGTTAACCACGAGCACTGCAAGGTTAACCACGAGTACTGCAAAGTTAACCATGAGGACTGCAAGGTTCACTGTGAGGTCAACCTGACACTGTGAGGTGGACTGTAATGACTGTGCGGCTGGCTACGAGAATTGTCAGGATAACCATGACGACTGCGAGGTTCAACAAGGTAACTGTGAGGCTAACCACAAGGAACTTGAGGGTAGCTTTTGGAACTGCAGGTTCAAAAACACGACAGGTAATTTTGAAAGTGGGACATTACATGTATCTCGTTAAACCTTCCACTTTTACTTTGTTCCTCCCTTCGTTCATCCAAAAGTTTAAATAAACTTATTTTGTGGATGCTGGAACGAAAATAAACCCAAGAACCGTATGCATTATTCAACCCTTCGATCAAACATCGGTTCTGTTAATGGTGTGATGGAGAAAACAAATGCAGTGTTAGAAATGGTGCGAGAGGGTGAGGAGGAAGAGGAAGTTTTGGAGATGAAATCGCCACGGTGACTGTGATTGTACCTCTTGGTAGGTTTCGGGGCTGACGCTAACAAACGTATTGACGTTAGTGGTGACAGTGGTGGGCGCTTCTTCCAACGACGGCTCTAATAGAATGGGTTCGCCTTCCAGCACGACACCAGGCTGTGTTGGTTCAATAAGTCGCATTATCAAGCACACTGGTTACCATGGAAACTGTTACACTCAATTCAATTTTGTTTTATGGGAAAAACAGCCGGTGGGGAGAAAACCTACAAATGGTTTGCTTTGATGGTTAATGTTTATAAAATATACACATAATTGAAAACTAATTGTACGTTGTTGCCAAATCAACACGTCAAAAGCAGCACTGGTTCAGTTTCTTTAAACCACATACAAGTAATTCATGCGGAGAAAGTTTTACGACACAAATCACACACTTTTCCTTCTACAGACTATTCAGCCACTTCTGAAATGAAGACTGAATCGGAATAAGTACAATCAATGCTGAGCATGGGGGGGCAAATAATACACAACATATTGGCCTCATGCCTTGCAGCACATGTACGTGTTCAAGAAGCAGAAAGTCAGAGGCAATGGTGAAGGATTTCATTAACCATAAACCTGCTTTCAGTTGGAGCAACCGAAAACAGTCTGGTGCATTTACCTCGTCCTCGGTCCTCTCCACTTTGTACACAGTCTTGGTGGTGGTGGTGGTGGTGGTGGTCTGGTACCTGGTCTGCCCGGGCTGCATCTCATAGCCCTCCTCCCCAGGGCTGATGAACTGCAGAGGTTCATCCTCTGGCTTGCTTGCAGCCACGTCATCAGCGGATCTCTGAGAAGACGGTATATTTGATGGAACATTACAGAACGAATGACTCGAGTGTAACAAAAAAAAGTCTTCAAAATTTGGCAACTCAATGATGGCTGACCTGACTAAATTTCATTAACTCTGTGCTAAAATTGCTCTTCACAACTTGATTTTTTTTTATGAACCTTTGCCAGGAGTGAAAAGCCTTCATTCCAAAGACAAATTTTATTTGAAGCGGTAAAGATCTGCATACTTGATTATTACTGACATGGCTTCAGCATTGAATTTTCTCTGTTATCCTAAGGCATAGGGTAATTTTTTTAAAGGCTAATCCACTCAGTGGGACTGTGCAGGAACGTACAAAACTTGAGAACGCTAACACCAAAGTGTGATTCAAAACAAGAGCAGACCTTCATTCCTGAAAGACAAAGACAGGCATTGCAAGATTCTAGCAGGTGCTTGGGTGGACGAATCAAAATCAAATCAAATCAAAATCAAATTTTTAAAATTAAACTCGCTATTGGCAAACCATGCTAATTCGGTGAAATGCAATGCAAACTAATCTAATGAAGATTTCAATCCCATTTTCAATTCTGCAGGTCACACTACTGTCCCCGATGTTTACTCAGGCGAACTCCGTTCCTCAAGAGCTTTAAGTTCTCGTACAATGTTTGGACAGATTTTGCAGCTTTGGTGTGAATGCATGTACCTGTTGGCTAATGGAGTGAGAGAAGGGGATGACGGCGCACACTAAATGTGACCAATCCAACAAAAACGAGTCATGACGAACACTTTGTTTCGTTGTTTTCAGTTAAAATGGGCGAGGCATGCCGAGCTCTTCCCTTTCTAAGTTTTGCCATCCTGAGGAAAGTGGGCATTGGGTCAGCGTCAATAAACACTGGCAGTTTTTACGGATTGATACGGAGCACGAATCAGTTCACAGCTCTTAACTCCAAAGCTGTTCTGCCTTGTGACTCATTTTGTCGGGCTGGGACCAAACACTGTCAACGACAACAACCAAAAAATGTGCGTGAACTGTCAAAGTAAAGACAGGAAATGGAGAAGGGGAGCTGAAAACGTGTACATGGACACACGAAGGAAGGACGAAATTAGAAAATACAAGAAATGAAGGGGAAACAAGGAATGGAATTGGGATGGGGAGACCTGGCTAGGATCTCGTCTGTATTTTGCAGGATATTCAATTATTCCGATATAAATCCACAGGCAGGTGAGTGATTAATTCCTTCCCAGTTGAGACAACCAAATCAACTCCACTTAAAGTCGGGAAGTGATTACCTCGTTATGCAACAAACTGAGACTAAAGCCCAACCCAACCAAAACAACGAGCACAACTGCAAGAAAAGGGGTCCATGTGTGTCAACAATCAGGCAACCACACAAAATATTTCCCTGGAAGAGTTCAGTTGCATGAAGGTCTTGCAACACAAACTTGCATTTTTGCAAAAGGATTTCCTGAACTCTGCACGTGAACAGAACTGTTTGCCAAATTAGGGACAAAAGCAGAAAACAGGAAAGACATACTCCACGGGTAACTATCTCTTTCATCATTTTTCCCGGCAGTTATGACTGCAATGTTCAGAAAGAGAAAGTCGGCTTCCATTTTTGTATTAAAAAACACAGAAACAAAGGAACAAAACTGATTTGTTATATCATCCACAACTTATGTGAATTTTGAGAATTTGAGATTGTACAAACCAGCAATAACACCATGCACTAGCTTTGAAATGATTATTAATGATACCAGAAAAAGTTGAAAGTACAAAATACAGTGAACATTCACAGAGAGAGAAAAAACATGCAACTACATATAAGTCAATAAAATAATATAACTTTGTCAATAAAATGATTCTGAGAGGAACAAATAAATTTCAAAGAAAACCGCAGCATGCTGGTAAGTTATTTTCACTTTCTGTTCATGCTTCAGGAAAGAATTTTTTTTACATATACACACGCTTTCACATCAAAAGTGGGAAAGAACGAAAACTGTAAGTGTATATAAAGTGCACAAGAAAAGATCGTTTGTTCAAATTTTCTGCAAACGTAACGTTTTATTTATTTTAGTTCCTTTTTGGTTTTTGTAAAACTAAACAGCCAAGCTTTGCAACAAAAACCAAGTGAACTTCAGACATTCAATCTAAACAGACGTGATGCCGCTCAAGGAATTTTCTCACAATTCATGCTAAAAACCAGACACATGCTACACTTGGAAACTCACAGGAAAGACAGCCCCTTCCTTCTACATGGGGAAAAAAATGAAAAGCACATCGAGCTCAACAAATAGGCTGATTTGAGACGACTTGTTACACAGTTGCGAAAACAATCAGCTGATGATAAACAGGGGTAGGTTGGGTTGGTTTTTGTTTCTGGGTTGGGGGCAAAGAGGAAGACAGTTTCTGATTCCACCGACCGAAAAGTAGGTCATCTTGATCTCCTGAAATTTCTCGGCCATCTCTGGATCGACTCCATCGTAATCACCTTCGTCGGAAGTTATGTCGTGATCCTGGGACTAAGCAGGCAAAAGTGGAGAAGCAAGGGGGCGGGGTATACAAAGTTGGCAAGTGAAAATATGACAGAAGGAAAAAAAAAATATGCAGTTTGTCGCTGCTTCGACAAGTGGACATTCCACAATTCAGAGTTACAAGCAGATGATTGGCTGCATTGGCACCAAATCTTCACTATGGCAGCAATGTCTTTTATGACCACTCCTTGGGTCAATGCATGAGGCTGTTGCCCTCAGTATTAAGCATAGGCTGGTGCTGCTGATGTAATGGACATTTCAGTACCAATTTCCCTTCGATACTTCTGGATGCAACACCAAGATGGCTGAAAGCCAGAAAATGAGATACTTGCCAGCATTTACATGTGCAATGCCAAGCAGTGAGATTGGAAGAAAATGAAATTCCCAAGAAATCATCATCAGAGGTTTAAAATACCCCACAGCTGCATACGGTCTACAATATACTCGTACATTTGTGTTTGCCGGAGGAATAAAATACCCATTTCTTGTTTTCTACATTAACTTTCATACATATCATTAAAAAAACCTTCAAAGTAAGCACAGCATATTCAAAATTTTACAAGAATGTGTGAAAAATCGTGAAATCAGGAAAACCCTGATGACAAAACCTTGAAATCAAGAAACTTCCTGAAAAATCTCACCCCCGACAAGCAGTATTAGGTTCCAAAAATAATGTTATTTTTCTACTGCATTTCTCCAAATCGGAAAAAGCAGAATATATCATTTCAAAGTTCTGGTGAGCTGGGTGAGGGAACAACACAAGGATGAAGTGGATCAGTCTTCATGCAGCTCCAAAAAAAATCCAAGAGCTAATTTTCTTTTTTACAAACAAAAGTGAAAGAGGAAGGGAATAAAGCACTACTGAGCAACTTAGGCCAAAAAAAAGGTCTCTGGTTTCTGGTCAGCGTGCACCACAAGCCTGCGCGTCGGCAAAATAAAAAGATTGGTCTGAAACGGTATAAAACGATGTCCAGTACAAGAGTCCCTCTAGTTCCCCATACATGTAGCCGGGGCACTCTTTTCAGATGATGCCGTTTCTACATTACACATTTACATCTGGGAACCAGACAAACAAGGCGGTCTAATGTCCTGTGTACCTGTACAAGCTGAAAATGCTTTAAACAGTTAAAAATGCGGGGGCCAGTCTATTTTAGTGTTGGTAGTGGCCGGTGTTAAGTGTGCACGTAGTCACAATGGACATCAAGCATTATACATGCATCATTTCCAGAAAAAAGAAAGAGTAAAAAAAACAAGCTGTGCTGCCGCACTACATTTGGAACCAGCTCGTGACCAGAAACCATAAACTTTTTTTGGCCTTTAAATGAGGAAACTTCTTGCCAAATATCTACATAAAAACAACAAATCAAAAAGTACAATTTTTTTAGAGAATGTTTCTACACTGCATGACTGGATGTTTGAGGAAAAAAGTTTGCCTGTGTGTGGTTGGATGTTTCATTCCGCACCCCCTCAAAATACGTCATATCGGATTCGATTTCGGTAGGGAAATCATATCAGGAAGTATTCTGTGTGGTCAGGAAATGTTTAATGAATTCAGTTCCGGATGTGGTAGTGTGGGGAAGACTTAATATTTCCAATATTTATAAAACAAGCCTGTGATCAGGAAAAGTTGGAAATGGCGATTCTGCTAGTGGGCCAGTGCTCTGTTCAGGAGTTGGGAGGTACGGATTTGTGGGTTGTTAAAAACCAGCTGATCGGCTATCATGCGGTCATGTCAACGCAGGAGAGGCATGGGACTGGAATTTGGGAAGTGGATTTTTGGAGGAAAGACAGGAGAGATGGGGAGGAATGATTAGAGAGGGAAGTCCACTCAGAGAAAGCAAAGACTTACAAAACACTGTAAAGCTGAAAGTGAGAAAAGGACATTCTCTAAAATGAAAAAAAATAACGCGTACACGAGGAAACACAGCATGTCACTGTAAGGACATGAACAAGAAACCACCAGATACTGTGTGGTAGCAGAACTCAACCCACCCTAGTGTTCAATTTTGTTTTTCACATCTACATTGTACATCTACATGTACAGGCAATCAACCATTTTCTCGACTCGGGCTCACAGTGGCAACCAGACACGAAAACCATTAGTAATGGTTCATAGCACACCATTACAAATTCAAAAAAATACCTGCCTTAAGAGCAAGACTGTTTCTTTCCACGTGAACTCGAAAACAGCACGTACACGTCCATTGCACACGTACGGAGCCGGCACTTATTTTGCAACACATCTAGCTGCTGACATTGTTCACCGTCCACTTGTTCTTTTCACCCTCAAGAAACCAACGCGGAATCCATTCACTTTAACCCTTACAGAGCCTTATTATTTTGGCCCATATCACAAGAAGAGGGAGTGACAAATTTCCCACCCCCCCCAGCTCGACAATACAAAGGAGCACCAGGCCCAAATGGCAGGGCTCATACATTCTCCAATCCTACAAAATCCTTCAGTAACCTCCCAATGGATTTTGAAGGGTCTGGGAGGGTTGGGGACTGCTACTAACAATAACAGACAAATGCAGCAGATAAATTTTGAACAGTAGCCAAAGGTCTGTCCAGCTGTTAGCACAATTTTCAGCCACTCACTTTTGAATGCAGCGCAGAATATATTTGTTTTCTCGCCAACAAATGAGGACTAACAGCCGGACCTCTGCACTCAGCAAGTGTGAATTTCTTTCCTTACCAGGTGATTCTTTTTAATAATTCCCCAAATGTAATACATGTACACGTATCTTTTTCACACAGCCTGAGGGTTGGGCTTCGGAACAAAGAAATTTTATCATCACCAAAAAAATGAGCAAGCAATTTTCGGTAGTTTATGTAGTAAAATTTCACAGATGTTTATACCGGGGGAACCCTGACACCTAGCCCTTTTTGCTAGGCACCACCCTTTAATCCTTCAAAATCCTTGGACTATCAATGCACACGATAGCCTCAACCTGCCTAAACCCTCCAACACTTCTTGAATATGCTCCTCTAAGGGCTCGGTCCTCCGGCAATGCCTGTCATTGTGTTGAGGAAGTGCAAATGGTGTCCCGGAGCAGTACGCATGATTTCATGTATAATCTAGACATGAATTTGTGCCCAGCTAAGCATATACAGCACGAGGTGTTAACTCAAACCCTTGCCGCAATGTATCCTTTGCAATCAGGCCACATCTTTCTGGCCATTTCTTCCTCAAGCCTCCAAAATCCTCCAAACCTGCCCAGAGGATCATTTGGAGGACTGGGGAAGGTCAGGATTTAACAAACATGTAGGTATGGACAAGAATGTTAAGTCTGCAAAAAACACGATGGCTATGACTACACTAAAGAAATGGTGACTAGAGATAGAATTTGTGTAGAGCTAGAAATTGTGTGGCTTACTTCTTCGACTTGAAAAAAAAAACTGTTAGCTCGAAAATATCTCATGCACACCACCTCAGAAAGTTCTCATCTAAAATGCAAAACATTCCGTCTCTTTTTTTTTGAACATCTACTCTACATATATGCAAGAAACCAAGACAGACCTTTTTCATAAAAATGCAAGAATGTCCTTTTTCTGCGTCAAACAACAATATGCAGCGTGACAGATTTCAATGAGTTCCAAATCAGTCCATCTCACAACAAACTGCTTTTAGTTCTAAGCCAGATGAAAAGATTCAGGTGTGATGCTGGATTACTTCAAGGCTTCGTAACAGACTTTCGACAGGAGATTATTTCAAGTGAAGAAAGTGCTACATTAACCACTTGCTGCCGGGTGGAATTTGCACATCCGGGACGACTTCCCGGGCAATTTTCAAAATTTTCCATTTTCAAAATTCTCCAAAAATTCATAACTTTATTTCCTAGACATTTACACCCACACGAATGACTGCCTGGTGGCTAGTCTAATCTGATAAAGCCCCATTGATGCACGAGTACTTCAGCCGGGCCTGCTGCCCAGTAAAGAGAGCCCAGATTGTGCAGTGTTGCATAATTTCCTTTGTTCCCGAAATTAGCCCAGTGCGTTGCTGAATGGCAGTAGTGTCTTTCAAATGCGGCCAGATTAGCGTGCAGCGGTACTGCATTGCTTATCACTGGAGTGCTGGAGCACTTTTGTCCCCGCTGATAATCCACGGGTGCCGAATGCCGCAAACAGTGATATACTGTTCCAAAATAATGACAGATTACCTCCACTAATGCCAACTGAAAAATGTTTGCCATTCCCAGCAGCTTGGTCTTTTGTTCCAAGGCCGAGCTCCTTCGTCTTATTTCAGCCGCCTCCGGCTATGCGTATATAAACCCAAGGTACCCACCCGGTACCAGGAACCCCGGAGGCAAGTGGTTAAACGAAGAAATACTGAAAAAATTTCTAGCAGGGAAACGACCAAATTTTTTTTAAGGAAATGGAAACTTCGGAAGCATCAGCTCAAGCTCCTACTGAAAAAGAAAAATATTTACAGGTGGGAAAAGTCATCCAAGTCAAAACAGTGCTTCAGCGAGCTCTTCTACACCGAGCAGTGCATTCAGGTTAATATGCTAATCAGGTGACAGCATCACGCAGCATTCAGAAATCAACATTTGACCTTTTGTTTTGGACATACCACTTCCTCTTTCAGCCCTTCTTTCGCCCCCTCATCAACACTGCTCTCGGCTCTTCCCTCGCTTCCCTCCTTGCCTTTGTCCTCGTCTTCCGAGTCGACAAAATGCAACTTTTTTTTTTTTGCCACCGATTTTTCAAACAAACCGGGGACGAGAGGAAAAAAAGAAACATTCGGTTTCCCCATCCGTAGTAGATATTGCAAAGAACCATCCGATTCAAAAAAAAAATTTGAGGCCAAGGTCTCTGGATCTTCCAAAATCATGCTGAGGGGTTTTTGTTCTTATCTTGGAGAAATCACAGGCTTGCTGAAGATAAATTAACATTTTGGTACGCCTCTCAACTTTTCACATGGGAATATCAGATTGGATTATCTACCCTTTGTTTAGGTCGCGGGCTATTTAAATCACATTGGGAAACGAGTCCACAATGCTCAGGTACATGGAACTAGAAGATATTTTCAGTGCCTTAAGGGGCCACAGACAAATGTTAACAAAATGACCACTCAATTCCCTGGTAAATGAATCACAGTAGAACGTCCCATCCATTTCAGGAAGGGTACTGACAGAACTTCATTTCAAGGGTGATTTTTTTTTTCCCTGGAATGCAATGTTTGTTACAGGCTGAATGGGGAGAAGTTGGAGGCGGGGGGGGGGGCAAATAGGCAAAGTACAGTCTGGCTGGAAGGGAATCCCGTGCATTACAAAGATGCAGGGAGATACTGGGCTTAGGATCGTTACGTCTCAGTTACAACATCAATCCCAACTACAGTTGGCTGGTCTCAAACTGTACACGTATGTGCTTCAGTTGGACCTGCCATTCGCCACTGAGATCCCACTTGGGATCACACCCAACTACAGTTGGGACTACGACAATAATTGGACCAAAGAGGATCAACCATAAACTTACGATTTGACCATTTGCCCACAGGTTAGAATGTGAAACACCTGTCTATTAACACTGGTAATGAAACTAGTTTTGTGGTTCATTCAACTGGAACACTCTTCAAAGAGGGATGTTTCAGAAATACACCTGCTCAGGTTGGAATAACAATAAATAGCAAGCCTTCTCCCGGATGTGCTTGGTGCACTTAAATTTGCGGGTCGACCAACCCTGCTTCACAAAGCACAACTGCACTAAACATGTTTACATGTCCATTCCAACTCGGATTGTTTCCTTACCTTCTGTTCGTCTTCGTTGTCGGCAAACTCCAGGTTCTGCTCAAACTGACTCTGTGGGCGCTCCGCCAGCTGCTGCTTGGCCTGGGCGGCCAGGATGACCTCGTCCGGACGTTCCTCGCGGTCAATCGGTCCACCATAACCTGGGATAAAAAACAGCAGTCATGAAATGGCACAAAACACTAAAATTCATATTCTGCATTTAATAATCTGCAGCATAATTTGTACTCTGAAGACAGATCTAGCGGCTAGATCTGTCTTCAGAGTACAAAGCTGCTCTAAAAATGGTCATTTTTTTCTAAACTGCATCCCAAATTATGCTGCAGATTATAAAATGTACATCAGAGTTTTTGTCACCAAATCTGGCAACAATGAACAAAAGGCTGCTAGATTTTTGCTATACCGATATGGGCACTGAGCCAAATCTTGCACAACAGAAATCAATTGGAACTCGGTTTCCGTCACTGTAAATGTCCATATTCGTCGGGATGATAGTGTTGAAAGAAAAGTAAAACTCAAAGAACCGTGACCTTCCTTTGCATAAAGTACACAAAACTAAACAGGGCATGCAACACACTTTGTGAAGTCAGTTATATACAATTGATTTGGGTACGAGTCTAGGTTTCTTTTAACACTGTAAAGTTTCAAAAAACATACTGCATATTTAAGGCCAGTTCGTATTTCACAAGTTAAAATGAAAGCAGAGGGAATTTCATGACAGTTTCAAGTGTAAGTTTTAATCATGTTTACAGATGCCGTAATGAGTTCACTGTGGTCTGAAATTCATGGGAGGCATGAAGTGGTTTTTACACTTCATGAGAACGGGAGGTGGAACAGGGCAGGGTTGTAGGGAGGTGAGCGGAGTTTGAAGATATGGATAAAAGGATGGGAAATCTTCCCAAACATTAACCTCCGTCCATACTCCTGGAGAGGCGGCCGCTCAGGGCGCGGTCGAACTTGGGGTTGTCGCGGTCAATGGTGGCGCTGGCCTGGCGCGTCTGGAACTGCGTGCGGCCACTGTAGCGGAACTTTGATCCCAGACGGAAGAGCGTTCTCTTTGGTGGTGGCTCGGGAGAGACCAGTCTAAACAGACCAACAGCAGAAAAACTACTTAGAACTTAACACATGCACTTAATCTCTAACAACCATGACGTTATGTATTTCTCAAAGAGGTACTGCTACTTGTCCTTCAATTATAAAGATTGTTTTCACTCCTCGGATGATTAGGCCGGAGACCTTTTTAGTACATTCCTGAATGTTTGAATTGATGAGAAATCTGGGACCACTCTGTTTTTCCATTCGTGATTGAAATGAAGGGTTCAATTTATTGAACCTGATGGAAATGACCACGTTGTTTGGTGAACAAATCCTTGAACGATTCAACGCTGTACCTGAAGAAAGTGTGGTGCTCCACGCAGACCTTCCAAAGGCGTTTAGCAGCGCGGTGATTGGCCAGCTTGAAGCCGATGGTGCTCTCAAAGTGCTCAAACTACGAAAGAAGTTCCACACCAAACAATTACAGTTTGTCAACCCACATTCCCTCTGTATGTAAAATATCCCTGGGAACTTTTCTTGAGCTTTCCAAAAGCTTCCACACAACTGAAACGTAATGACACACTCTTTGTAGAACATCATGTCAAAAAACAACACAAATCTTTCAAAAGCCTGTGAAAACCTTCCAAGGATTTGAAAGCACCTGGGACGGACGCGGTTCACGCTTTTCCAAGATGCTAATTTCATTAGAATACAGCAATACATGAAAGCAAGGCACCTGCTGAATCAAATGGAATCTAACGATTGAAAGAACTTCAAAGAAGTTCACTTCAGGTAAAAAAAAAAGGCGTGGGTGGTAATTTCTGTGTACCTCTCCCGGTCTGATCTTGATGTAGAAGTTGTTCCTCTTGTAGGAAATTTTCAGGATCTTGGGCCAGGCAAAGCGGTTTATTCTCAGGCGGTCGCGGTAAATGAGAAGACCATTGGCACACACGCCCAGCATAATGTCCACCCCCTCAGAGTCCTGGCCAAAAAATGAAAAACCTCAAGTATTACAAGCGTTGAAGTCAAGTACTTGCAAATGATACCCGAGTAACCACAACTATGGTACCCGAATAGGCAACAGGGACCTCAGGCTAGAAATAAACAGACATTCCTCTGTTACTTTTCCTTCAACACACCCCTCGAACAAAGAACAGAGAACCAGTCTGCTAAGGCCTAGGCTATACGCCATGCTACTGCCGTGCCAAAATAAAATTGAGTTCTTTAACATCGGCACGGCAATAGCAAAGCAATTAGCACCATTTTCGGCATGGCAAGCTCTTCTGCTTGACAGGGTATGCCGCGTTATCGGTGTTCCAAATGGCAGTTGCATGACACTGCTCTGCCACGCTATTGGCGCGCTATACCAATTCTCATCTTCATTAGTTTGCCGTGGCTGTAACACGCTGTATAACCTAGGCCCAAGGCACTTTAAGTTGGGTGGAGAATGGTAAGACATCTGTACTAGTGAGCAGGAAGTCGGTGATTTGAGTCCCACCCGAGTAACATAGGAAGTTTCGTTTCATATGAGTAAATACAGTCAGTAAATACTGAGCATACAAGCGTTAACGAGGTATTGATTCTTACCCTAGCGTGGTGGAGGTCTACTCCATACATCGCCAGTTTCTTTGCATTTTCAAGGAAGTGCAAGTCGGCTTCAGACGGTGTCTGTCCTCTGAAGACAGCAAAGGTAGAGAATGGAAATTGAACCAGATCAACAATACAAGTGGTTGTCTTCCACTACGCTACGCTACACTTTATACTACGGTGCTAACAGTTCAGATTTCAAATAAGTATCGCTTACTTACAGACAACTTCCAACCAAATAGATCTCGCTGTCTGTCCCACTTATTTGTCTTTTTGGAGGGAGTTTTGTGGATAGAAATTTCAAGATTTTATGGTATGAAAAATACGGTACTTCAACTGAATCAGTTACTCAGCTAGAGTAACTGAGTAACATTTGCACAGCCCTACTCACC